CCGGTAAAAATAAATTCAGGAGTTTCAAAAGAAGGAGTAAGTCAGAAGCAATTTCTTACAGTCATTTTTTAGTTATTTTCATTAACTTTTGACTACATTTATGTCACATTCTGCCGATTTCATTGACGTTTATTGTTTCATACATGCAAGGAAAAATTTGTTGTGTTCACTTAGTTGCCTACTTTTATTTTGAGTCATCTTGTATTTTAGTTTTCATTGCGAGCTGACACCGGTTAGAGAACCACCGTAAAACCATGGAATAACGGGTAGTTATTTTGTCCTTGTTTGGGACCCTTCAGCCGCATCCACCCATCAGGGTTTAAACCCGGGACCTTCCGGTTAGAGGATGAGCTCGTAGACAATCTGGCCACTGGGACCCAAACCAATGGCTCATGAATTCGAGCTTCTGTCAACTTGCGATATATATTCCATTATGGGTAAATTTTATTTTGATAGAGTCTCACAGTGTTATACAGTAATATTTACTGATGACGTTTCGAGCACAATTTATTGCTCATAATCATATCAAGTTAATCACACGACTTCCTAAATTCATTTATATAGTTCCGTTGTTTTTCACTTGATTTGATTGGTAGTATTATTTTCCATATTTCAGGTATGAGTGATGATTCATTCCTATTGCATGTGTTGGGTGCAGATTCGATGAACAAAGATTCAGTAATCAACCTCTCTTTCCACCTACCTAGATTACTTTTTAGAATTTTAACCCTCTCCCACCCTATTGTGTGGTTGTGTGTTAATGCATGCATTGCAATTGCCGAGCTTTTTTCCAAATTACTTATCTTCTCTGGGTCAACCATTCTTACCTTAGCTAAATTCTTATGTTCTGACAATCTGACTACCCCTGACCTACTAGTTTGACCTATGTAGTTGACCTCAGAGTCATTGCAGGGTATTTTGTAAATTATATTATTTTGTCTAATTGGGTCCACTCGGAACTATATAAATGAATTTAGGAAGTCGCGTGATTAACTTGATATGATTATGAGCAATAAATTGTGCTCGAAACGTCATCAGTCAATATTACTGTATAACACTGTGAGACCCTATCAAAATAAAATTTACCCATAATGGAGTTGCGATATATATGCCTCAATAACCAACCAATGTTATCTGCAAGGAACTGTTCTCGTACCTAATTTGGTGGACCCAACTGATTACGACTTCTTGTTGAGAGTCAGTCGCTAGTGAGCATCAGATTTGTTGTTAATTGTTGGTTTGCAGGAATTTGATAAATATCGTAGTTTCACAAACAGTGTAATCCAAATTGATGATACCAGTATAAATTCTCACCAAGAACTAAAATTTCCCAACACTTTCACTCAGTAAGTGGATAAGAAATAAAATGGGAGATAAAATTCTACGCCTAACAGAGCAGGATAGCTGAATAGGTAAACTGATCATGACCTCATGCATATTTTCTTATCCAATAATTGTAGACCAGTATTTTTATGACTTATTGAGTACAAACAAATATCGGAACATGTTTATATTTCCTTAAAATTAATAGTAATTTAAGGACATTGACCAGAGATATGAGGCAGATTCTCACTTCCCTGGTTAGTATCAAATAAAATGCGATAATAACACCAATAGCTGATGACGTTATCCTTAAAATCCATTCTTCACATAATATTCCCACATATTAATAATTATATCTCAAATGCTACACTAATCATGTGGGAATTATTTCTTTATTTGAGTGGAATTCAGCAATAGATTTTTAAAAAAAGTGAACAATATAACTATTTTACACTAAAAATGACCTCATTCAAAATTTTAAGGTCATTCAAATGAATAGCCAACTGAATGAATTTCATGGCAATTTGTCAAAAGGAATAATTTTAATATTTCCGCTGGAATTATCAAAATAAAATTCGTGTAGCATGTGACATGTAGAGAAATAAATTAGCAATAACCATCTGCGCTTATACTGGATTTCCGCTATGTCTGCAGTAATGAAGAAAAATGAATTTCACCTGAAGTTTCAAAACTGTGCTGCCCAGTTTTGAAGAGTAACATTTGAGAGTGCGATATGACTGTTTGTCAAGGCAGGCCATATGGATTGATTGCTTGATTTCGATAAAATATTACTTTTTATATGTTGTCACTAGGTCATATTTAAAGAAACTGTAGAGCTAGAAGTTCGCACCTTGCTTTTATTCTTCGGTAGTTGTCATTAATAGAGTGAATATGATAGGAGACTACTAAGGTATCTAAGATGTCTACTCACAGTAATCTAGGGTAATGCAATTTATGTAATTTTGTTCTTATGTTTTCATTTATTTTACTCCTGAGTGGAGAATAAGTCTTCAAAGTCCACCTCTGAAGTTACACTAACTGTGGCATTATTTTTACGGAGTGGGGTTGCTACACTTATGTCAAACCTTTAAGAACGGACTAACTATGTTTGTTAGCCGTGATGTCATGACTGATGAATGCGCCAACTTTACAACCTGATTGAAGGACCTTCAAGGTAATGCAACAAATCATGCCTTTATTACCTATTTAAGGTGTAAACTTCCGTTGATTTCTAAAGGATATATATACTCTATACTGTGAAGAATAAAGGTTGTTTTCATGGTTGTTACAGTGAAATCTGACTTCGGTCTCTGCATCAGTCTAACGAATATTTTCAGGTTATCAGTTGATTATAGTGTCATGTCTGGAGGCGCATTGTAGTGAAGAGAGACAGCAACCAATAAATCACCATATTATTATTATTCATTTGGATTCTGAGTGGAGAATAGGGCTACAACAACACATCCTCTTCAGCTGGGTCCACGATTGACCAAACTCTCTCATCTCCTCCAGCCCAAACGATCTATTCCATGTCACCCTCGCATTGACGACCCACTCGTCGCTTCCCATTCTGATTCCACTCAAGCAATGGCCTGCGTTGCGAGTGGTGTCCTTCGACAGTCTCCTCAATGTATGCCCGATCTATCTCCATTTTCTCATACATATTTTTTGAGTGATCCGCTCTTGGTTGGTTTGTTCATTGCCAGAGTTTCTTGTTTGTAATTCTTTCTGGCCAGCCATTTTGTCTTCAGTATGGGGACAGCCAGTGACGCGGGCAGCTGTTGATAGAAGTTTGTGACTTATTAGAATTCCTTTTTTTTGGTACGCGTGTCAAGTTTCTGACCCGTATAGAAGAACTGAATGACTTCACATCTGCGTTGAAAATGCGAATCTTGTTCCTTATGGTAGCTGAGCGCAGTGCAGAAGATTTCCAAACTGGTTTCAGACTGATGGAGGCGTATCTTACCTCTCCAATTCCGACTTTGACATCTTCATCCGTGCTGACTGCCTGTGGTTGAAACGATGCTTCCCAAATAAGTGAAGGAGGTAACCTGTGTTAAATCTCTCCCATTGATGGTGATTGGTGCTGGCTGTTGTCGCTGTTACAATTCGTTGGTTATCTTCATTACTTCCATCTTCTCTATGTTTACCTGGAGTCCTGTCTTTGCTGCCCTCCTCTTCAGTCAGTTCATTGGTTTTCACTTGCAAGTTTTCGAGTTAATGTAACTTTGGACGTATGTCATCCACACGCGAAATCCTGATCTTCTAGAGTCTTCTTATCGATGGTCCAGAGTATTCCTGACTCCTCGCCTCCAATAGTCTGACGCATAATCGAGTGCATCACAATTAAGAGTATCATCGGTGATAATAGGCAGCCAGCCAGCTTGTCTTATTCCTGTATTCAGCTCAAACGCCTTGCTGAGTTTCTCGCTATAGATCACCTGGCACGTGGCAATGTCATATAGCCAACATTTGAATGAGGGTGATAAATACTTGGGCACTGTACGCCGTCGTGTCGAAGTAGTTTTTTCAAATTACTTTTCGGTCAACGCTGTCTGGTGAAGACTTTTTCGAAGTCGATGAACTTGAAGTAGAGTGGGTTTTGACTGTTATTCTATGCTTTGTTCTGTGATGACGATGCGTAGAGTTGCAACTTCGTCAACAGATGATTTACCTTTCCTGAATCCAGCTTGTTCCGGGCTAGCGTAGTCTTGCATCCAATGCATCTTTTATTCTCTTCAGGATGATGCCATATAGTATCTACCACAGTCTCTGGGTCCGTTTGCAGTGCTTCAAGGGAAATTCCACCTGGCCCTGTTGTCTTCCCGGCCGGCGTTCAGTAGCTTGGTCGCATTCAAGATCCCTGTTTTCGTTGAAGGATCGGTGGTGACTGGCAGTTATGTGCGTGCTGTTGGTGGTGGTGGTATTTCTGAGCAAGTTGCAGGTGACGGACGATTCAAGAGTCCTTTAAAGTGATCAGGCCATTGTTTTATTCGTCTATCCTCCTTGGTAATTGGGTTCCCTTGAACGTCTTTTATTAGTTTCAAATTACTAACACTACTTTATAACATAACATTCCCTCTTTACCGGACCAAATATCGATTGAGTAAGGCTTAGGGACGCATTGGCAAGGAATCAAACCGGGCCACATGAGAGCATCTTACTACTGAACCACAGTGTCACTTAAGCACCTAAAGATAGAAAACAATTCATTCGCAACTAGTAATTTTTTAAATAAGTAAGCAAGCCATATTTTACATTAGTAAGTGTGAAGTGTTCACCATCTAAGTATAGGCATCATTTTTCGCAGATTGAACAGTATGATCTCAACATTTACTTTAAAATGAGTTGTGAAGTTACGCGGATATTCAAAACATTTCTCAGTTTAATTACTGAACACAGATTTCCAGACATACTTTTCCTACTTAAACAGTTTACTGATTTCATCACAATGAAGATTTCATGAATACTATCAAACACAGAGCTATAAATAAATCTACATCCCATAAAAAATCGATTTTATAGAATAAAACAGGCACAAGTATAGGCGAAAAATATTATTGCCCAATATTAACATATATCTATTACTAAACACTGACAATATTTCTATTGGTTAATAGTATTGACTTATTATTTGCCCATTGTCCTGTTATTACTGTCTGTCCATCTCTCGCTCAGTATCAGATTAAAATTCTTCTAGTTATAATTTGATGTATTCTACCGTAACTGCTTGAAGACACCAGCATGTCACAAATGATATCGGTTCAAGAAATCTTTGGATTGGAATTTTTTTTAATTTGCTGAAATTCCAATGGGATTATTTTAAATTGAATTGCATTTGTAAATTCTACATGCTTTAAAAGTTCACAATATCCATATAGGTAGGTTAAAAAGACAGTTTAAGTATATTTATTACTAATGAAAAGATTACATTATGAAATTAATGTGGACTGTTACAGTAGTACTTATTTTGTCATGAATGCAATGGATTTTTATTTGGTCACCTTTTAAGTGAATATCAAACATGCATTTTAGTGTCATTCCTCTAATTAACAGTTTTTGTTTGAATGCAGTCTGCTCCTGTCAAGCGTACAGCTTGCAAAACGGAAGTGTATGTGCGTATGTGTTTTATTGCCAGTTTGAAGGTGAACTGAGGATTAAGTGAAATCATACTGTTTCAGTGTTGTTGGTTAATGGCTTTATAGGTCCTAATTCATCCAGGCAGGTAACCAAAAGTCAGATAGTTTAATCTGGTTCGGCTGACTGAACTGAGTTAAACAAGCCATATCACTGGTGAGCTCCTCCCCGAACCAATGAAATGACCGTTTGTTAGATAACTGCAATCTGGCTAGCTAGTACTACTGGCTGATGTGAGTAGTATCTATCTACTCATTACAGTCAATCAGTAGTTTGTAGCATTATTAGAGTTATTTTTCAAACAATCTCAGCAGAGGAAAATCATTCCTACGAATCTATAAACTTCTCTGTTTCGACAGTAGTTGTTTTAAAATAGTTTTGGGCCTCTTTATTTTCCATTCGCGATCTACCGTTAGTGATTTCCAACTTGTTATTGTCAAGTTAAAGTAGCACTTTTTACAGAATGAACCGTCAGACACTTTAATTCAACTTGCAGTTACATAGTAGACCCGGATAAAGGGTGTTTCATGCAGCTGAATAAACAACGTGATGAATTTACTTTTATTCACACCTCAAACATACTTTTGTCACATATTTTGCCCCCAAGAAAGTAGAGGATGCCCGAAAAACTTGACTTTATTCCAAGAATACCAGATAACGAAGGATTCATGTCTTGAATATTCATGTCCTTCATTGATAATTGCTCATGTTCACACTGACACATATGAAAAAGACTTTAGTTAGTAAAAAGTTAGTTTAAGTCTCCTATCAACAAAGAATTGATTTGTGGAGTTTTATAAGTGAAATGTCGAACCTTTGGCTTCATTTGACAGGCTATTTGACAGAGTTCCAGGTCCTAGATTCCAGAGATTACTGACTCCGTTCCTACAGAGATCCATGTTGTAATTTCGCTTGCAATGACGAAACTGCTATAATAGTCTTACTTTAGATTAAGGTGATATGAAGGACGATAAAGGGAAATTGAGTTTATAAACTGCAATTATCCTCATCTGAGTTGGACATAATTGATTTCTCAAACATCATAAGAAAGATTAAACCAGATCATCAGTAAGGTACAATAATGTTTCAGAAGAGGATGAAAGACATTTTCGGTAGCTCCCTTTCCTAGGAATGCAACGAACCTTTGACCTTTAGAAACTATTCAAGTACCTTTTAGAACAATAAATATCTTTGCAAGCTTTGAAATGAATATATACGAAAAGAATATTCTTTGCTGACATATGCTTTTTTATGATATAATCATTCAAAAAACCATAGTTTATGACATTGAAGTAATGAAAGATCTAGGTAAGGAACAGCTTCAAAACTAACTGACTACTAGATGGTCATATGCACAATATTTTCTAGTCTGTCAACTCCAGTTACTGCTAAAAGTTCTCACCTATCTGACAATTATTATTATTATTAACACTATTACCAGTTAATTTCATCATAACACAGGTCTTCTTTCACTTAGTGATATAAAAGTCATTCAAGCAAAATAATGAGTAAAATGAAAAAATATAGAAATTAGCAATTCAAAAATTACTAATTTTTCTCAACAAAAAAATCCGAGAAAAAAGCTATCCCCTTAAAAAATTTGAGGTTTATATATGGAACAGATTATATTGGAGAAAATTAACCATGAGTATGTCTGCAATGATGCATAATGTAATGGTATACTTGAATGAGTTCGCGTGACACAATACACAAAAAGAAACACTCAAATTAATTTCATCTTTAAAAGGAACAAATTTATGAAAGTTAACAAAACATATTTATGCTGTAACTAGTTATTAAATAATGCGTATGTAATTATGCTTGTCTATTTTACAAGTGACTGGGATGGTAAAATATTTAGAGTATGAATTCCTACCGTCAGGCTCATTGTACCTAAATAAATTTGGTATAGCAATAAGAAGACGTAATTTGTCTGAATCGTGTGTGTAATGCTGTATTTGCACAACACATTTTTAACAATCTGATCACACACGGACTTGTCACAGGATTATATATGAAATTAATAAAGAGGGAAGAGGTGAGAAAATAGACTTAGGTCAAGTTAAACTCTGGTTGATAACAATTATCCAGACAAGTTCATCAGGAGATATAAAGTAGTCAGCGGAACACCAAGACCCACTCTCCAACTCGCCCCTAAGAAAGACGTGTACATCAAGCTACCCTATATGGGGCATCAAAGCAGCTTGATAACTAAACAAAGACTGAACGGTGCTGTTAAAAAGACTTTTTATGCAGCTAGTATCATTATTATTGAGAATGTAAAGACCTAAGACCTTCGAACATGCGAAAAATGATGTCACATCCCACTGTATTTACCAATTTGAATGTACGTATGGATACACATACATAGGGAGGACTCATCGATCTCTACAAGTAAGGATTGGCTTCAGAGCATATTCCTAAATGGCTCCAGAAATAAACAGAATCTTCAGAATCCATTAATGGTGAGAACAGGAGACCTAGCTCCTCTATTGTGAAACATATTATAGAGACGGAACATAAAATTGACGTTAACAGATCTTTTAAACCTATCTATAAAACGTGTTTGGGGCGTATCCTAAAGTTTGTGGAAGCCCTAGCTGGCAATTAGAAAGTTTAAACCACCTTTATGCGTTCAAACCAACAATTCGTCATCACATTAAACCTTCCTTGGTAAATTTTGTTTTGATACCATAGCAGATGTACTATTACCTCTGTTATTTGGTTTAGTGGTCTTCATTGTTACTTTGACCTTGAATATGTCCATTAAACTTGACCTAAGTCTATTTTCTCACCTCTTACCTCTTTATTAATTTCATATATATTCCTATGACAAGTCCGTGTGTGATCAGATTGTTCGAAATGTGTTGCGCAAATACAGCATTACACGATTCAGACAAATTACTTCTTCATATTTATTTTTTTATTCCTTCACGTTCCCAGTGGAACATAGGGCTTCAAACTAGAGGCTTAAAGTTTCTGTAGCAGTGTTTATTTTTACAGTATGGAGTTGCTAGCCTAATGCCTAACCTTTCCTCTTCACCAGCTTTAGTTCTGGCTTAGCGAGGTAAAGGATTGCGCCGGCCGAGGATCGAACCCCAGACCATGTGCATAGTCGGCGAGCGCCCTAACCGCTATGCCACCAACACAAAAAGGCCGTCCGATGTAGCGGACAATTCATGCTTCCGAAGAGTGGGCAACAGGACTGCCAACCATCTCTCCTTCTCTCACGCACACGTCTTCTTATACCACATCTCCAGTGCTTTATTTGCACATCATTTGCAAATTGGTCAAATATCACCACTTCTTTTAGCTTGTTGAATTTCACACAGTAATTCTAACATTCCTTTCACAGTTCAGTTCTTCGATTGCTTTTTCCAGTGTCCGAAACATATTGTTACTTTTCTGAACTCGTTTACTGATATACTACTTATTTCTGATTATAAGTAGCATTCACTACAATACTACCCTAACTTACTGTCGTTAATATTAATTAAAGTTGTATTGCTTGAATCTACTTTACTTTAAATGATTATAGCGTATATGCTTATGCACTCTGTTGCCTATACTGTCATCTAGTTAGAACTCTTAGAAAATAGTATACATATTGTAGTTCAGGAAAGTTTTTGGAATGAAAATTGGATGTTTTCCAGTCGAAAGGCATTCATAGCTACTTCATTCATACGAGTTCAAAAGTGAACTGTGTATTTCAAAAAGCTGTTACCTTAACACATCAAATTTTTGTTTGCATTCCAGGGTTATCGCATTTTGTTTCGTAATCGATACTCTACTCATACAATTGTGTTATTATCATTACCTCTTCGTACAATGCTGGCATCAGTTTTCTACGGCAAATATGGTGGCATAAGTGGTCTTCGATCTCTAAACTGAAGGCTATAAGCATATTCTGACGATAACCAAAGTTAGTCATCTTTACTCCTCACCTGGTCAGTATAATGAAGCTGACTAACCTTTGACAAGTTTGAACGTCACTGTCGGAAGGTATGATCATGTTACAAAACATGTATAAGCATTTAAACACTTTGATATGAATTGTTTTGTTAGTAAATACTTCAGCAACTCTGGTCAAAAATGTGGTTTAGAATACCTGAGATTCTTAAAGCAAACAAAAAAAAAATTTGTCAGTAGCATCCGAGGGAGGAATAGAGGTCTTAGACCAATAACTTAGTTCAGAGAAAGTAAACCTTGGAACTACAACTCCAGGACAAACAACGTTTTCTGAATGCAATGGAATACTCTAGCCTAAGAGAAAAACACTATTTAAAGCAAGCAAACAACATGTGATGGCTAAGGTTCAGTGAATTCGCAGAATCTTTCTTTGATAGTGACTTGTGATAAAAACGGTTTTTAAAATAATACTCTTCTGAGTAAAAAACTATCCTCACTTAAGCAGCATCTTTTAAGAGTTAAATTGTAGGGATTTGATTTGTTAAAAGTATGATCACAAAATAACAACAGTTTGAGAACGACTGAAAAACAAAGAGTATTAGATAAACGTTTCGTCCTATATCGGGACTCTTCAGTGCCCCACTTCCACCAACTCGCCAGGAGCCGAACCCATGACCTTCAGGTTACAAGGCTGAGACCATTGACCACTCAACTGGTGGCCTATGAATTCTAACTTTTATCGATTCCTTTTTAATAATTGTGGTTTTATGATTAATAATTCAGTTACTGCTTTTGTCTTCTAGAGACATTTTAAATCACGCAATGATCTTATGCT